AAAGCCGCGGTGGAGGAAAGCTGGAAGAACCCCACCTAGCGCGCCACTAGCTCCCGAAAAGCGGGCAGGATGTGGCCCAATAAATGGAGCAGTTCCGCTTCCACCACCGGTGGCTCGCGGTCATGAAAAAGATGCGGTCGGACGAGAAAGGCCCGCGGTGGGCGGCCGCCCTCCCAGAAGAACGTGCATGGCTTAGAAGGCCGCTGGTGGGATGAAGCAGGCCAGGCCAGGTCCACAGCCGCTCCTGCGAAGACCCAGATCTTCCCAAAGACAAACGACCTCCATCCACAGCCACCCTGAGCCGGCGGCCCCTCCCACCACCGACCGAGCGCACCAGAGAATTTTGGGGGGGGGAGAGGCTGGAATTGCAGGGAGGCCTCCTGCGGCTCTGTGAGCTGTTCCCTCCCTGCCAGATCTAGTGCTCCTGTTCACTGGTTGACCTGGTAGAGCAGTATCTTCTCTACTGGTAGGTCTTCCAGATAACCCTGCAAGGCAGACTACTGTTGTAAAGTTTAGTCGGAAAGGGACTTGCTAAAGGACACGCACATCCGAGGGCCATTCTTAAGTTCCTGCCTCCCAGGAGTCTCCTTAAATGAAACTGAGCCACCCCACAGTATTGTTTAAGCAGGAACATCAGGAAATCCTCAACGCCCGAGCTCAGAGTTCAGCGTTCAGATGTACTTCGAGCAACGTGTGCCACGCTGCAACTCGGAGCGCTCAAGCACTGAAGTTAAAGTCTGTTTCAAAAGCAAGGGCTTCTGGCATCCATTGCCTTACTTTGGCAAAGAATTCCAGAAAAAGACATGGCGACGCCACTCGAATATTGCATCAGCCTTCATTTCTTACAATTGCACAGCAGTATTTCTTAAAAATTGGCATCAACAGATATAAAATTAATTCTGTCAGAATCATGTTTCTTTTTTTAAAAAACCCACGATAGCAGTAGCTTCTTCACTAAGGATTTGGCACGTCCTGAGAAGCCTGTGGTGGGACTACTGGGGACCCGCGTCTTGAAAAGGATGTTAGTCATAGTTTTGCATAGAGAATTCTGGCCCTTGCAGTGGCGAGCCAGGTGTTTCAAGGATGCTGGTACCTGGACAAGGAGGAAGGAGCAGCCTTGCCTTTTAACTTATTCTTAAGCATCTGTTCTGCACAGCCACACTGCCACTGAACACGGAGGTTCCACTTAGGTGTTCCTGTAAGGCGCTACTGACAGGCGAGTCGCTTGCTGAGTCGGTGGTTCCACGAACCTTTTCCAGCCCAATTCCTCTGCACCCCTGGCTACGCTCTCAAACCCCGCAAACCTTGCTAATGCTCCTCTCACAGAAGCGGCCCCACACCCAGTGGGATCGCATCTTGGTCCCCAGCCGCCCCAAACATTCCCCTGAACAATGGAGTCCAGCATGGTAAATCTGCAGCAGCTCTGGAACCCACACGACTTCTGGGGGCACCAAGATGCCCCCGCAGATCCGGAGCGCACAGACCCCCCATTCGCAACCAGTTCAGGGGAGGCGGTTTCTCTGACAGGAGAATTTGCAGCTTGCAAAGGTAAGAAGCGTTCTTTTGTTTCCTGAGGGCTCAGTGCAGAGAGATTAAAGTCACCCTGAGATCAAGGATGGGGGACCCGTGGACCAAAGCGATCCTTCTGAAATAATTCTTGCAATGATGCTTTCTTCTGAACGTGCAGCAGCAGTGGCAGCAGCCCACTTCACCGTCCCCAGGGCTGGGTGGCCACAGCTGCTGGACAGCAGCAAGTGGGGTTTGCCAAGGCCAAGCACTCAGTGAGGCCAAAAGCACTTCTTCGGGTTGCGAGGGGGAGATTTCAAACACTTCCCCAGCTTCTCACAGCCTGGAGGAGCCCAGTTCTGTAAGACAGAGAGAGAGAGAGAGAGAGAGAGTTAGCCGTCATTACCCATCACTGCAAAAGCGAGGGCTCTGGAACCGGCCCTGGATCTCTGTGCTTCCAGAAAAGTGGCGCCCTTGGGAGCTGAGCAGCTGAAACCCTTGCAAAGCTATGGTTGGGCTCATTCCTTGACCAAGACGCCGTGGCTCCCTTTCCCCACTGTAGGGAACCCTTGCCCCCCCTGCCCCTGTGCTTTAGGTTCTGCATGGGAATTGCTACAAGTGTCTGTGCTCCCCCCCCCCATTTCCTTTTTGAGCAGAACAAGGAGCAAAGGGCTTCTCAAGGCCGCTTGGAGTCAGCAGCCCGCTGGTATCAGACACCCCCAAGAGACCCGCAGGCTGGGAGATGCCGTTCCCGATGAAAGGCGGCAGGCCAGCCTTTCCCAGCCCCATGTCCTCTGGATGTTCCAGAAGAAACTCCTGCTGGCCTCAGTGCCCGAAGGACACCTGCCTTGAACAGGCCGCCCTGCGCTTCCCGGCTTTATTTACATAGCGTTTCTTTCTATGATTCAAAATGCTTCATGGGGATTATTTCACTGCAAGCCTGTAATTATTACCCTTCCCCTACTGTTGACGGGCAAATGAAAGAGACGGGACGGCCCGCCCTTGTGAGTTTGGGGCCAAGGCTAGCTTCAGACCAGGGGTTTCCGTGGTTCGGAGCTCCGTCTCTTTTCCACCAGACTCCCTCTGCCCACCGGGTTGGTGGCCTATCTAAGGACCAACAGAGCTGGAGAGCTCCTTTTCATCACCAGAACCGCCTTTCGCTGGCTGCAGCCGATGGACCATCCCGTCGATGGGAATATCGCACTGGGCCTCCCCGTGGCCGTTAGAGCGGGGTGCGCTGCGCCGGCCCTGGAGCTCCTGAGCGAGGCAGGAGATCGGTGAACAAGGGAGCCCCACTAGCGCTTGGCCGATGCTCAATCTCTAGCAAAGGGGCATCTTTCTGGAACAGCTGCCATGTGATCAGAATACTCCACTGCCGGACCCTGGTGCAAAAGCGGCACCAGGATCTGGCAGCCTGATCTCCTTGGCGTCAGGGCCAGGCATCGGCCACAGTCGCCTCCCATTCTTCCACCCCAGCGCGATTAAGGGGCTGACTTGAGTCCTCTTCTGGTGTCATGATCAGCGAGCAAGCCTTAGACTTAGAAAGGCTCTGTAATTATTTTGCACAGACATATTTGTGGAGATTATCTAAGGAGCACAGGAGAAGACAGCAGTCTCAGAAGGCCAAGGGTGAGAACGATAAGAACATTTGTGCTTTAATGAGCAGTTTGATGGATTAGTCTGGCAATTGATGGATTAGAAGGCATTTACATAGCGACACTGAACGGGGGAACCGAGCCTCTGTCCCTCTGCGGCTCGCTGGAACTAGCTCAAATTTTGCAGAGGAGAGGCAATGTCAGAAGGAGAGAACACTCTTCTGGCTTCCAAGGAAGAAACGATTCCCTCCTGGGCGCGGGAGCAGGATCAGGAGAGGGAGGATAGCCAGCCACTGAAGCAATCCCACAGGGGGCTTTGTGTTCCACTGTGTGCCAGGACTAAGCCATGGCAGGAGGAAGAGGAAGCTTCGCCCAAGCCAGCTGCTGATGCTGGGCGCAAGGAGAGAGAGCTCTCGGGTGATACATCTGGAGAGAGGAGGTGCCAGCCTCCATGCAGTCAAATTGCCCCACATTGGCTAATGCAACCAAGCCCCAGACTGCAGCGTACAAGCCACCTTTGGAGCCCAGTCAGGCCAGCGGTGTGCCTGGCTCGCCTCCTCTCCCTGCTTCTCAGCCAACCTGTGCCATCTTCCTCCTCTTTCTCACAGCCTCCTTCCCATTTCCTGGACAGCACCTTCAGCATCTCCTCCCCCCACAACTCCAACTTTCCCTCTCTGAAGCCCACCTGCCTGCGGAAGAATCTGGCTGTCAGTGGCTAAAGGTCGTCCTCGCCCATTTGTCCCGCTGGCCTTATTTTTGTTGCCTTTGCTCAGCACGAGAGCGAAGGAGAGCGTCTGCAACACGGAAGATCTCCTCCCTGGGCTCTGAATTCTGCATGGCTGACACCAGGGGGCAATGATGCCCAACCAGGAGAGGAGGAAGCATCGGAAAGCCTGTTCTCTCTCTCTGGGCAACTTAAAGAACAATTAACAGGGCTTTCAAAACCCATTTTTCACTTCCGAAATGGTAAGTGGAGGAACTGAAACAGTGGTGCCGAACGCATTACATCCCATTAAGCTCAACCTCCTAAGAGAATTGCAGAGAAGCCTCATGTGCCACAAAAGGTGTTTGCGTATTGTCCTAAACCATCCTGTGGTTTGTGTGGTTTTGACTTAGCATGTTATGTCAACCAAACCATTGTGGCTTGTAAACTATGGTTAATGGCTTAGCCCAACGTAAACCCAGGGAATTGTGGTTTATTTGCTAAGACATGGCTCCATAAACCTTGGCTTAAGGCTCTGGGGAACTGGAATGCCCTGATTTAACTGCTGCAAAGGCCAGGTTTCCTTCTCACACAGGTATGGTATCGCCGTAGGCCGCAAGAACTCCCCGTCTTAAGTTCCCCTGCTAAGCAAAATCCATAGAGGACAGAGTGGGCAAGGGTGACTTTCAGCCACTGACAGCCACGTTTTCTCACAGGTGGTGGGCTTCTAAGAGGGAAGAGGGGGGAGATGCTGTAGGTGCAGCTCAGAAGGCTGAGGCGAGGGGGTCCTGCTGGGGAAGGCTGGCATCAGCAGAGAGGGAGAGGGGTTTGGGTTTCAAACCTGAAGCAGAAGTCCAAATCCAGCCTGCGGCATGCGCAGCTCCAGGCAAGCTGAGAGCTGTAGGGCAATTTCAACTGTGGCTTCTCCCTGCTCGAAAACCCTCCACTGGGGACACACCTCGAAACCCGCTGCTTTGTGGATTCAGCCTATTGATGTGGCAGGAAACTGCACAAGATCAGCATGCTCAAGGAATTGGTTATATGAGCTTTGCTCTGCACATTATTTCTGCCAAGAGATACTCCAAGGCATCGTTTTGCGTTTCCCCATCTGGTGAGAACAGTGCAGCAGAATCCTCCTGCCACAGGGAAGGCCAAATACCACCTGAGCAAGGCCACCCCTATCCAGGGAGTTCATCTGGAGGGCCCTGGATTCCCCACGTGGCGTCAAGCTGCCCCTTCTGTGGGCCCACCTGGCCAGGACAGACCAACGGTGTCTTCGCAGTGCTTCAGGCAGGGGACCTCCAGCCCTGCCCGCAGTGGCTGGCATGTAAAGGGCAAGCCTTCCTTTCATGCCAATTTTGCAAGGAAGAAACAAAGCCAGGAGGTGGCACAGAGGAGCTTTGGCCTTTGGAAGTTAGGTGGCTCCACAGAAACGCAGACCCCTGCCTGCTAGACCTCTACCCTGCCCAGGTGCCTCATGGACATGGACAGCATAAAAGGACATCTTCCTCGCAAGGTGCAACAGAAGCCAAGCAGCTTCAGGCTCATTTACGTTTCCGTCCCTTACCATGACTGCCTTGTCGCAGACGTTCAGTTGAGGCTGCCCGGGGATCAGCATTGCCTTGTGCTCTTGGACAATGGGAGAGACTCTTTTCAAAACAGACCGGTACTCAGCGCTGGAGAAGCTGGAAGAGAACGGCAGCTGTCACAGACCCCAAAATGCAGCGAGTGCTGCTATGCCTGGCCAGACGATGGGATGTCCTAAGAGATACGCCGTGCCAACTGTCTGCTAAGCCCTATGTTGGTTGATGACACCCCCAGCCCACTGAAGCTTTGCAGAACCCCAGAACCCGATGAGCCCTTTGGAGGCAATCCAGTCCAACCCCGTTCAGCGCAAGAATCCAAAGGAAAGCGCCCCCCCACAGGTGACGGCCTAGTATCTGCCCAGACACATCCAGTGAAGGGGAACCTCCTTTCTCTCTCGAGGGATCAAGGTAAGCAAGCATCCAGCTTTGCCAGGCTGCTCTGTAGAAGACAGAAGAGCGTTTCTCATCAGTTGCTTCCTGACCCTTTTTAATTAAGGATCTCAGAGACTGGAACAGAAGACCGCTGCCTCTGGAGCTGATCCCCTACCCCTGTGCTGCACCTCAACATCGAGCCCCATCTCCCCACTCCCTAACAGAGCAGCAGCTCTGGGGACGATCAGCAACCCCCCGGCAGGAGAAAGTTCCCTTCATCTGAACAAAACTCCCCACGAACTACCCGCTCTAGACTGGGGACAAGAGAGTTGCTATGATTTTACCCTTCTACCTTAAAGAGAAGCTGGAAATCACTCCCCACTCGGCCCTCTTATTTTTATCAGGATTATAAACTTTGGCAGGTATTTGTTCAAGTGGCTTAATGCTCCTTTTCCCTGTGGTATTATTTCGAGCACGTCTTAAACAAAGGACTAATGCCCAGCGATCCCATTCTGTCTATCATATTAAAAGTCACTTAGGGAACAAAGAACTGCAAATTACATTTAGAAATAGACAGATGTAGAAACAGTTGCCCACTCGGGCTTCTCTTTTGCTTCTGGTCTGAGCTCACTGCTGGCCCCCAATTGCCAGGCTGCAGCCAGCCCACTTCCTTCCCAAGATCAAACGCATTCACACGCATGGGACGTGGCAGCACTTTCAAGTCGCTCCTACCAATACCATCCTCTCGTTCAGCCTTCCAGTGCCCCAAAGGAAGCGTGCGGTGTGTCTGTGCATGTTTGCAATCAAGCTCAAGACCAGGACTCAGAGCCAAGTGGAAGGAAGTTGCAAGGGGAAGCGGCCCAAGCGGGTGACCTGATCTTGCTTTCTCAGCTAGGAAGCTAATTTTGAGGGATCCTCTGCAATGCAAAACAGGTCCTGCGCTTTGGAGCAGTTGACCCTCCACAAGGACAGGCAAAGCTGCCCTCGGTGGGGGCTGTCCACCCATCATCAGGGGCCTGCATGGCCTGCTTCTTAACTCAAGACCGAACTGAACTGTGGCTCTTCTGTGGGCAAGCCTGGGGCCCCCATCCTTCTCACGGGGGGGCCAGCAGCATCTGCCCCAGAGCCAGCTGCTCCTGTTTCATCCCCAGAGCTGTGTGACCTGGGAGCAGGCCAGGCCGGGGCAACATTCTGGCTCCCAGGGGCACCTGCATGGCATGGGAGCATCAAGTCTCCACAGCAAGCAGCCCCAGCCCCGGGAATGAGCGCCGCCTCACCAGTCCGCGAGGCCGAAAATGACAAGAGGATTCATGTCTCAAAGCAGTAAGGGAATTCACGTCTCAAATCCGCAATTTTCGTGATGGCATGGGGCTACACCTGTACAGGTGTTTCGAATGCCGACTGCCTCTGCAGACCGACAGGCAGCTCTGCCCCCAGGCTCCCCTAAATTTGTATTCCATCTCTTCAAGCCTACCAAAGAGAGGGTGGGAATTGCAGTGGAAGAATGAAAGGGAAGAGCGCAGGGGTGAGCAGGTGGCGCGGAGAGGAGCTGCCTGCGAGATTCCCCCTGTGTACGCAGAATTATTCCAGGCGCAGGATGAAGGAGCAGAGTGGACGGCGTCCAGGGTCATTACACTAATTAACACTTTACCTTTGGAAGGTCCCCGGAGAGCCAATCAGGGATGGATTGGAGGCAGGAGGTCCCAGGCACAGGTGTGATGTGTGTTTAGTTCATTTAGCGTAATTGTGCTCCTGCAATCTGTTCCCCTCTCCTCCCACTTGAAGCAGATCCGGACAGAACTCATCCCATTGTTAACCCTGCTGTGGCCTGCAGCATAAAGACGGCTTGGAGCTGAGAGGAAGGGGCTGGGGCAATATACTGCCTCCTTCCCCGACGGTCACAAGCTTCATGTCCTTTGCTCTCCCTTTCCAGCATCACACAGCTGCCTGCAGTCACTGAAACCAAGGGACGATCACCCAGGTGGCAAAATGATTTGGGTTATCTGCAAAGTCACATGCGTGCATATGACACACAGTCAGGACTTGGTAACAGTGGCAGGATTACCCCTCCAGGAAAGCCCCCCCCCCATATGAGCGGGCCCAATGAAGGCATCACATCCTCTCCTTGTTCTTCATTATTCAGACTCCTGTATTAAAAGGTGCCCTTCGCTCACGTGGCTCCACTGCTTCAGCTGCAAGGAAGAACTTGAGGGCCCGGCAGCAGCTTTTCTGCCCTTAAAGCCTGGCAGAATTTGGACCCCAAGTACCCAAAGGATCCCTTCCTTCCATATGAACCTGGTCCTTGCAGGCCGCCTTCTCTGCCTCCCCCATCTCAGGAAAATGGGCAGGGGGCTTCCTTGGGGTGGCTCCCTGCCTATAGAATGCTCCCCCTGGGAAGCTGACTGGGCTCCACCCGCAACCGAGCAAGCGTCTTTTCACCTTCCCTCATCCTTTACACCCGAGAGCCAGTTTGGTGTAGGCGTTAAGGCATCAGGCTAGAACCAGTTCTAGTCCTGCCTCGGGTGCAATGGCAGCTGGGTGGCCTCGGGCCAGTCCCTCGCTCTCAGCCCTAGGAAGAAAGCAAGGGCAAACCACTTCCGGAATCTTGCCAAGAAAACTGCAGGGGCTCGTCCGGGGAGTCAACACGGACTCGAAGGCACACGCCCATCCTTTACATTTTGATTGATGCTAATCTCCCAGGCCCTGCCTTAAGCCAGCCTTCCCAACCTGGCACTCCCTGCTTGGACTGTAGAAATCACTGACCCAATAATGGAGGTGGCCAACTTAGGGATGGTTTTAAAAGAGGCCAGGGTAAGTCGTGTAGGAGGTGAAACACCGTCTGCAGAACATCTACTTGCAGCTTTGGGAGGCCAGCTGCCTGGCCTCTAGTCCAGTGTTTGTCAGCCTCAGCAACTTCCAGATGTGTGAACTTCAACTCACAGCTGGCTGGGGAATTCTGGGAGTTGAAGTCCGCACGTCTTAAAGTTGCCGAGGCTGAGTTGCTGAGGCTCTAGTCTAATCTAGCTTCACAGCTCTCCTCGCATCCTTAGGGAACAAGCCTGCTATCTCCTCAGTGGTAGCCTATGGAAAAAGGGGCCAGGAGGTAATCCCGGGTGTAAAGCTTCCCAAAGACACCAGCATTCTTCCCCTTCCCTGTGGACAGAAATACTGACTGTTGTTTTGCTTGCTTGCAGGCAACATGGCCCTTGCTGGTAGATGCTTGGAGTCAAATTATCTCTGGACCAGGAAGTGCGTGCCCCCACCCCACCCCCAATTAACACGGGGACTCCAAACAGGCTGGCCACCAAGGGGGATAATTAAGTTAAATTAACACAGACACACACAACATGCCTGCTGCCCTAGAACATCCCTGCAAACGAAAATGACTGAATTGCAACGAAGAAAATAAAAGCCGGGATGTTTCTACCATGACAAGAAGGCAGCACAAGTCAGTGGAGGGAGAGCTCCTGAATAAAGGATCCAAAGCTGATTTAAAAAGAAAAATCAGATACCAGGTCCCAAGCGGAAAGACATGGGTTGCATTTCCAGGATCTAGAATGGGGTTTCTCAACCTTGACAACTTTAAGGTGTGTGGACGTCAACTCCCAGAATTCCCCAGCCAGTGGGGAGAGGAGGGGTGAATTCCAGCTCTGCTCCTTCCAAAAGCACCAACTGGATGGAGCCAGTGAGCCCTGCTCCCTTCTCCTGACTGCTCCAATGTGTAGCTCCTGGTCTTCTCTAGATCTATGTGGCTTCCTTACCATTCACTATTACTCCCAAAGCGGCTGGGAAAAAGAGGAGGCAGGGAATACCTTCACCAAGCTATCGCAACGGGGGTTTTCCATTCAGATCCAGGGCCTGCCAGTCCTCGGAGGATTAAAAGAGGGCAACATGAGGGTCTGAACCCCCCCCCCAATCAACTAGTAGTTAAGGATCATAAACTGCCTACCTAGACTGGAGTTGTCTTCCCTCCCCAGCATGTCCACATAGTCTCCTCTCCTTCACTGGATTGGAGGCGCATCTCTCAGGTACTTCCCCCCGCCTCACCTGATTGGATACTTTTCTCCAGGGTCCCTTCCCAAGTGGAAGAGCAGCGGGAGCTTGGAGTGCTCCTCTTGGTCGTGGGTGGTGACGCCAGAAACGTTCTGCCCAGGGCAGAAATCGATGCCCTGCAGCACCAGAAAAGAAGGAGGAAGTCAGTAGTGAAGACCGGTAGCAAGCGGTCGGGCAAAGGGAGGCAAAGAGATGCCCCCTCCCCAGGAGCTGCAGAGGCCCAAACGTTTTCTGCCTTTGTTAGTCAGAATCTCTGGGCATGAGAGTCAAGAAGCCTAGAAGCAAATGAACACAGGCCCAAGGCTGAGATGACTTTTAACATTAGTGTTAGTGGTTCAGAAGGATTCACTGAAATCATCTTTTTCTACTACGGATGAATGACAGCATGCATTGTGTGCTTTAATCTAGGCTCCAAATGAATATTCGTATCTTGCTCTATTAATTATTTCTGTCAGTCCTTTGTGTGCAGAAAAAGGGAGTACAGATATTTTAGATGAATAAATAAAAATAACTGACGCTCTGCAAGTGTGCATCCACATACAAACTGGCTACTCGACTTAAATTGACGGCAGAAGATTTCCTAATTTATTACGTGAATGTTCTTCCTTCCTGCTGCTGGAAAGGTCAAGATAGCCTCTTTCCAATTGCTCTCCATCCAGGCCCAGACTATATCCAGACCTTTGGGTGCATCAAGCTGAAAGGTGAATTGTTCCTTCTTGGACAATCTCTCTCTCTCTTTCTCTCTCACGCACACTTACTGACTGTAGTATACACCACACACCCACCCACAATGTTAGGAATTGCTAAGAATCCACCCTCTGGATTCGTTCACCCACATGTGAGCACCCAGGAGTGCAGGCTGGAACATCTCCGATGGCAGTGCAGACTTCTTAGGTACAGCAGGGATTCATGCAACCTGCCTGGCCAACCACCCCTGTTCAAAAAAAAAGGGGCAACCTCCCACTCCCACTCCCTATTCAGGTGGAGGCTCTGCTTGGGAAAGGACAGCCCCCCAATCTGATGATGCCTTAACTGCTTATGGTGCAATTTCAACCCTGAGCCTAGAACAGAAAGATGCCAAGAGACTTCATAACTGATGGAGACCTTCCCAACCCTGAATATACCAAACATCTCACCCCTGACAGGCTCAGTCTGGACCTAGACACGTGGCCAAGGGAACAGGCATGGCAGAAAAGAGGGCAAGTGGGTGGCTGGGTGGCTTTTAGAAACCTAAGTCCCAATTCTCTCAATTATCAAAGGGTAGGACAGACGACGGGGGATGGAATGGAACCTTCTCCCTCCCTCCCTCCCTGGGCATTATTCCTTGGTTCTTCACAGGAAAGGGCTCAAGGACAGGAGCGCCGATCCTCTGGCTCAGATGGCGTTCTCCATCCTCGCGCTCCAGGACTCTCCTAGCTCATCCTACTCTTGCCTTAACCTTGGTGGGGGCCAGGAAAGGAAGGCGTGTGCCTCTTCCGAGGACTTCCTCCTTGCCTATCCCTGATGGTCACAGCAGCTCAGCAGGCCAGGCCAGATTCTCCAGGGCTGCTGCTGCTGCTGCTGCTGCTGCTGCTTCCACAGAAGACCAAGGGCAGCTATTTAAGGGAGGGTTGAGAGGTGGCGCAGCTGTACTGCTTGCACATAAAACAAGCGTTCAGCCGAAAGTCTCTCCACGGACCTCGGAGGGGATTTGATTGGCAAACCATTTTCTAAAAATATCCGGTGTGTCTTTAATGGATAGGCTGGTCAGTGGAGCAGTTAATATTCTGCTTTTCAATAAAGTAAGAAAGGTTAGAAGCTCAAGAAATCCCATTTACCTGCACAGAGCTACAGATTCCTGTCTCAGTGGCTGGAGAGAAAGAAAAGGGAGAGAGGGCTCTGCTAAGCTGCAGCAGGCGCCCCGTAATGGATTTTAAATGGCTGTGGAGGTGTCTGACCTTTTCACCTTCCGGTGCCCAGACCTCAGAGACCAGCAAGCTTTGCCTTTCTGCAAAGTAAAAGCCCAAATCTGTTTAGAAAGAAAAGTGATACGGTAACGACGACAAGAGCTAATAAGAGCCAAGACCAGAACACACAAGTTGCGATTTGGATGCAGATCAAAAAGGCTATTTAATTAAGAGTGTGCTAATCAGTATGGCGCTCCTATGGGGCAAATGTTTTCATGTGAGGTAAGAATTTATGCTCTGGCTATCTGCTGCCATGCTTCTGCTTACAGAGCGCCTTCCCCTCTCCTGTTAGCCCAGGCTTATAATTAGGCAGGCAGTCAACTAATCACCTAGGGTGGGTTAAATCTATCTCCAGGTCATTAGACACAGACCCACCCCCTCGGGTGGGCACCGCAACAGAGTCAACAGACATCTCCCGCTAAGGGCGCGCATGGAGCTCCGCGGCCGTGGCACTGGCCCTCTCTGAAAGCCTGCTTTTGTTCCCACACGGTACGAACCGCTTGGGCCAACAGGCAGCCATCTTGCACCAGCTACATTTCTCCCAAGGGAGACCGCAGCCGTTCCTCCTTTCCTGAAGAGAAAAACCAGAGGGACATTCTGCTCCCTCCGCATTCCTTAATACCTCTGCACGTCCCCATTCGAGGCAACTCAAATGCAAAGGTTCTCCGCTACTTCTGCACATCTTGTGCCACAGCAATCTATTTCAGGTCAGCGACTGTGAAATAGCAGAAGCAGCTGCTAGCTCAAATTAACAAACATCACGGGGCATCTGGTGTGCCAGCCTGGAAGTGCTGAAGCCTAATACCAGGGGAAACGCAGAATGTAAATTCTCAATAAAAGAACCTTAAAGATTTGCCAGACTTTTTAAAAACAGGCCCGGGATCCTCCACCCCTCCCATCCAAAAATCAGGCGACGTCACTGCTAAACAGCAGCCTACTTTCACTCTCTACTGATGTGTTAAGGACTTCCCAGAAGCATCCAGAGGCCGTTTCTCAAGCATAAGGAACTGTCTATCCTCTTCAGGGATAGGATGCCCTGCTCTGCCTCCTGTGCTGCTTCCCAACAGCGTAACTTTCTCCCTCTGCCTCCAACACATACCGACAGTCTTGGTCACCCTGCTCTGCAGTTGTGATGTCCCTGCATCTGTTTCCCAGCCAATAAGCACAGATGCTCAAGGAATATAAACATGAGGCTAAGCAGCAGGCGGGTGCCAGTTGGCTTTCCGCAAGTACACACGTTAATATCCTTTGACTCTGGCAACCCATCGCCTGGGCACCACCTCGATCATTCTGTTGTGGGTACGCTATTCGCTCCGTCAACCATGTCTTCCTGCAGAAGCTTCCTTTTCCAATAGTCATGGAAGACCGCACAAGAAGAGGAAAGAGCCACTAAAAACAACCACCACAGAAGTGTCTCGTGGACTGAGCCAGGAATCCTGGTGACCATATTGGTTCTTGGGCTGCAATCATTCCATGGAGTGGGAGGTTATTTTCAGTGACACTGAGGGTTTCCAGTAAAAGGAATGACAACCTGTGCCCTCTAAGAGATTTTGGATGATGAATCCCATAATAATGTTTGGCTATTGGCCCTTCTGGTCAGGGATGAAGGCGCTGGAGAGCACCAGGTTGTCTATGACTGCTCCAGGATTAGGATACAGTGTGGGCTCTTCCCACACTGAAAAAGCTCCTCCCAGCAAATGCTGTGGAGCCAAAATCACCCCACCTGTCTGAAAGGGACTTGGGGCGATCCAAGAGTCTCCATCAGCTTTCAAGCAGAAGTCATCAGTGGCTAACCCATACACCCAGGACCACAATCAACTGTAATTATTTGTGATGCTCTCCTTGGCAGAAAAGGTGCTACTGACTGCTTCACATTGGAATGGCAACAGCATGGAAAGCTTTCTGGCATTTTGTGTTAAAATAGGAGTCTTGGTATAAACACAGGCAAAGACCTTTTAAAAATGCACAGTAACTGAGTTATGGAGCTGACAACTCCAGGGAGAAGCTGAAACTGTCAGCTAATGTGAAATCCACCCAGAGATTTTGACAAAGGCATCTTCTCCTCAAGTCAGCCCTTGGGCCACTGGCAGCAACAGAATGTGGGAGGGCAGTCAGGGATTGGCCTTTCATCTCTATGCCTTGCTATTACGGGGAAGCCCCAGAGGCAGGTTGAGAAACACAATAGAGGGTTGGGCTAAAAGCAGGGAGCTCTGGGTACAAATCCCCATGAAGCCCACCTAGTTCCTTTCTCTCCATCTCCTTCTCTCATCCTAACCCTTATTCATAAGCTTCTTGTGAGGTTCAAATAGGGAAATAATCACGTATGATCAAGGACCTTGATTCCCTTGAAGGAAAAGTGAGCTAAAATATGCCTTTTGGATTCCAAACACAGAACTGCTACTTTCATAACATGAACCACTGCACTGCTGTATGAGGTTTAGAATAAGGTAAGATCAGATGGGGGGAAGGGAAGAGAGGGGTTATCCTCTGCAAGAAGCAGAAGCTGGGCACCAAAGAGGCAGATAGCTATTCACATCCTGTGGCTTATACCCCAAGACCCCTTTGGTCCCCTCACATCTGTGCCAGACTGCTTTGGACTTCAGAGATGTGAATGCCCAAGGGTGGTGTACTTATCTGTCCAGACTGGAAAGGAAAGTGCAGCTGACAAAACCCCCTTTAGTCCGCAGCAGTGACCCACTTGGGAATAAACCAGAGAGACAGGCTGGAGGGAGTCCTAGCATCTCCAGAACAACATGGCATCGATAGCCAAAGACCTGCTTCCTTTCCAAATCTCCAAATGCTCCAGCATCTCTAACTGATTCTCCAGTGCATCTGAGATGTTACTCTGTCTACTCAGATTTAAAGAGTTATCTATTATTATGCTCAGAAAATAAATACATCTCCAGAAATATAACATTTTCCATTCTTCAGCTATTTACAAGCATCTTCTCACCCCATCCTCCACCCGCACTCAACTTTCCTTCTGCTCAACACAACCCATTAATCAGCTTCGAAGTGTTATGACAACTTAAAACTGCACAGACAAGAACCACTTGTAAATCACAATGGCCTTTTTACAGTTTCTGGATGGCAGCTAGGTAAATATTCTTCCTGCACAACTTACAGCTGCAAAACAACTCTGCCAGGTTCGCCTTAGCCAGGTGAATTTCCTATTGAGTCGGTTTGCATGACTTCTTTTGGCATTTTGAGAAAAACAGGTGCTCACAAAGAGCATTTATACTCATAATTGAGCAAGAGGTGAATTTCAAAGTATTCTACCTAGAAAACAGATTTTTTTTAAACTTTAAGATGTGTAGACTTCAACTCCCAGATTCTGACAAGAAAAGGGAAATTCTAAGTTAGAATCACCAGCTAAGAAGGGCTTGCAAGGGTCTGTGTGTTTGGGGCAGGGGCAGAAAAGTGTGTTATCACAGACAGGAGTCTTCGCCAGAGACAATAATGCTGATCTGAGAGACCAGCTAGGAGAGGCTAAGCATGACAAGAATTTAAGGAAGAAAGAACAATAACCAATACTCTGGTGTATCATAGCCCTGAGATTTTAGGAGCACAATAACTAAAAAACTGCCAGTATAGGAGGAGAGCCATGTTAGTCTATAGTGGCAAAAAATCAGGAGGAGCCTGGTAGCCCCTTTTCCAACTAGCCAATTTTATTAAAAGGCAGAAGCGTGTGAGAGCTGCTGCTGCTCACTTCACCAGCAGCACAGAGTGGCTAGACTGATGTAGGATTTAAACTGGGGAGAGGTGGGGAGAAGATTGCCTTCCTTCTCCTTTCACCCTCCATAATTTGGGCACCCTGGCTAGGAATTCTGGAAAAAGAAATCTGGGAGCTCCATTTCCAAGAAGTTTACTGAAGGGAAAATGAATTCAAATAACAAGCAGTTAAGCAGGAGCATCGCAAGAAGAGAGCCCACAATTGATAAGCTAAGACCAGTTCCACAAGTTCAGAGCAAAGGCCTTGATTGACTGTCGTTCCAACCATACGATCACCTGGGAAGGGGAGTGAGACCCCCAAAGCTGCCTACTCCTGTCGCTGCACACAACAGAGAGCGCGCCACTCTTTTGGTCTCCAAAGGTATTCAAGAATTTCAGAGCCACTTGGCCTGGTTTACCGAAGACCCAGGTGGAGTACTCATTTCATCCATCATCCCAGTCTTGAACTGAGGCGTTCCAGCCAGTTCAGGACAAGTGTCAGCTCCAAAGAAGGATACAGGTAAATTCTGCATTATTCCCTTGGGTCCAGTAGAGCAAGACATCCCTTTAAAAAGCCGATTAATATTCCACTGAGGAGGTCCAGCAATTACCCTGGACAGGAGCTCCTTTCATTACCTGATGCTCTAGTGGATGGCAAATCAGTGTGTGTTACTGCTGGCTGTTGGAATTCCTGTTCTCGTGTTCAGTGTAGGTGTTAATGTTCCTTTTTCATAAAGGAACCAACAACCTCAAGTTGCTTTTTTTTGGTGTATCTCCCAGCCTCACTATCAATATTATTGATAAGAAAACCGGAGACAGCAAAAGGGAGTTTATACAGCAATTATACTTTGGGAGTGTTTCAAATACCTGCAATCGAAAACATAATGATATTCAGCATTCTATTTAAAAAAAAAAAAGACTACTAGCCAGTGTTGCAATTAATATCCGAGCACCAAAAGAAGAAGAATGGGAACAAATTTTAACCCCCGCACAATCTGCATGTTGTTAATGGTGGTTTGTCCACTAATTTGGTGCTCCAGTTTTACCCACATCAACCACAGACAACACAAAGGCAGACACGTAGCAAGCAGGAAAGCAGTGAATTTTTAATCACCCTATGATATACAGTATAATTGCTGACTTTTATCAACTAGCAGTTAAACAAAGACTTAGAAAGGAATAAACATTCCTTAACTGCATGTCTGCCACCATTCGCAGGAGGATAACCCTGGGAATGAGTAATTCATTTCCATTATCAAAGCTCTTTCTCACAGACACACAAGGCAGTCATGTAGCAAGAGATCCAAGTGAAAGGTGGGCCTTTGTTTCAGCAGGTGTTAGATGCTTAACTTGACTGGAGGAGCAAAGCATGTCTGAATGCGACTGGGAAAGGTTCTTCTCCTCCTCTCCCAAAGGGCTGTCATTGAGACCTTGGACAGCAACTGGGACATAAGGGAACGAAGCAGAAGCCACCTCCAGGAAAAGTTAAGCATGCCGGAAGGGTTAGTCCAGTGTTTTTCAAACTTGGCAGCTTTAAGAATTCTGTGAGTTGAAGTCCGTACGTCTTAACTTTGCCAAGTTTGAAGATACTGGGTTAGTCCAAATGCTAAGTTTTCTAAAAATGCAGCCTGCATTGCCAGGCCACCTTAGCAAGTATAGCTGAAGAAATTTGTCAGTGAGCAGTCAGAGACAGGTAGAAGCAGGCAGAGAAAGGGGTAAAACTAAACACAGAAGGGGGAAGCACCGATAAGAATTGATCTCAGAGGACCAAGTAAACCACCAACTGGTGTTCTCCCGTTTATAAAATACCATCTGTGGACCACGAGGGGTAAAGGCAGCTCTTCTTCAACCACACACAATCTTCAGCTTCTCCCCACTATCTCCTGATAAGATTAGAGACATAAACTGTGGACAAGTGAACTTGCACCCCTGTGGTGGCCCCAAGAAGAGCGTCGGGTCCCCTTTGGGATCCCGTTGCAGAAATCCCTGCAGTTTTGCTTGATAGAGGGTAGATGGCGGCAGCAAGCCAAGGAGGGGATGCCAAAAGCCCTGCCCACGGTAGCAGGGATGGCCCAACTGTATCAGCCACAGAGGTGCATAGAAACCTGGCAGTACCCAGCAAGGTGAGAGACATTTTGGGCCCACACTGGTCGCTCAGGGTGCTGCACTACTGCACCTATGCAGCCAAGCAGAGTCAGGAACCCTGCTAAATTTTATTCAGCCCCAGAAGTAGAGGGAGGAAGCCCTGCCTGAAATGTTTCTTCTTCTCTTTTTTAAAATACTCGTATTGGTTTTTACCTAAAGCCATATGTTCTGTGACATTTCATCAAAGGTACTGCCACAACTCTGGCAATGCCTGAACAGAGGTCACTTCCATCCTTCAGGGTAGGAGAGAAAATAGCACCTTTGCTGGAAAGGAACTTATACTCCAGTTGCTTGGCAGTTATGCTCCCCCACTTTTATACAAGCTATACCTCCACTAAGAGTGTTTTTAACACCTTCCTAACTTCCCTAAAACTCTATCTTGCATTAAAGTAGATGTTTTGATGAGGGATGGGTGTAATTCTGAAGAAGGAAGGAAGGAAGGAAGGAAGGAAGGAAGGAAGGAAGGAAGGAAGGAAGGAAGGAAGGAAAGTTCAATTACCTGGCTGAACTCCTCCCAGGAATTGCTCCAGGTCCAGTAATGGGCCTTGTAATGCCCAACCCGCACTGCCATCATCTCGTTGCCACGGTAATAAAATATTGGTCTGATTGAGAGAGGATGAGGGAGGGACAAAGAGAGATGTACAGCCACATGAGAAATGTAACATGTCCAAACAAGTCGCTTTTCCCCCCTTGGCAGCTACAGAGATAAGGGAGACAAACTCTTTAGCAAAGCCTAGCCGGCAACGCAGCTATCAGTCAGAAGCAGGTTGCCTTCTAATAGCCCTTGCTGCAAGGTTTTCAATTAGCATTTTTTAAAGCATCCATCAAGACGAGAGCTTGCATGGCGAAGCAAGAATGAAAAGTTATGCAAGTTGTCTTGCCAGTGATTGCTAATCCTTGAACTACCAGACTGTAATTTCACACAGAGTCCGCTGACTTAAAATACTCAAAAAAGAAAGGCACCTGTGTGATGGTGATGCAAAAGATACAGGAGGCCAGACTGTCAGCAGACAGTCAGGAAAAACCAAGCGGTAGACGTTTGCTTTGAACCCAGACAAATGGGTTACAGAAAGGGGAGAAAGTGGCTTAACTAGACAAATAAGGATCCTGTTATCTGTCAGTCGACAGGCACACAGAACTATTTCAGGATAGGTCACAAATAGGTAAAAGAACCACCTTTTAAAACAATGTCCCTGCTGAGCCTCTCTATATGGGATGCAAATAAACTTTTCCTATCTGCATTGGTTTTGACACTCAAAAGCTTTTAATGCACAGAGCCTCCAAGACCAGCTAATTGGAAGATGACTCAGATTGGCTTATGGGTCCTCTATTAAAATACGTAAATAAACATATTTAGATATAAGTATGCTGGGACCATGAAGAACCACCAGAAATAGAGCAACATATATATTTCATTCAATTGTTTTTTCAAAAACAGAGGAGTGTATCACATTATTCCTACAAGCTTATTATTGTATAGTTGGGAGACTGGGGGGTAAGGTGGCCTTTCCTGGGAATTGTGTGATTTTTAATTAATCAAATCTAAAGACAATTAGGCTGGGCTAGGTTTTAGGCCAACCATGCTGGTATCCTGTATTCCTATTGTATCTGTAGCTTGACCTAAAATCCTAGAAACACAGAATCGTAAGGTTGGAAGGGACCATTTAGAAGAAGGCCATAGGCCCATAACTTGCACAGAACACTTTGGGCGAAAATCAAGAACATCGAACACTGAAGTAGAAACTACTGTCTGTTCAATCTACACGCTTAATGCAGGGATGAATAACATGTGGTCCTCCAGAGTCGCTAACCTCCAACATCCCGTCACGGCTGATGACATGGAATGTGGAAACAGCCGCACTCACTTCTGATTTAACAGGAGGAGAACAAATGAAACATGTTCTACTTTATCCATATCTCTGCAGTAATTAGGGAGACCTATGGGATAACAATGTAACCCTATGCTGTACGGAGCGACAGTGGAACCACCGGTATCGTTTTGAACTCCAGAAACAATCTCCACAAAAGCTTTAGAAAGCAGGTGCTTAATCCTCAAAAACAAATGACAGTAACAACCCTTCTAAAATAAGAGGCTCCAAAAATAACCAACTGTTTCTGCTACCCATCAATAAGGCTGGGGGGGGGGGG